TTTACCATTTTTTTGCCTGACTTTTTTCACTCAGAATGATTTTGAGATTCATCCATGTTAGCGTGTGTATCCATGTTTCACTCCCTTCTATTGCTCGGAAGTAATCCATTACATGGATATGTCACAATTTGTTTATCCATTCCTCTGTTGATGGACATGTGGGTTGTTTCCAGTTTGGAACTACGGCAAATAGATCTGTTATGAATATTCGTGTTCTTTGTCTTTGTATGGGCAAATGTTTTCATTTCTCTTAGGTAAATACCTAGGCATGGAATGGCAGGGTTATATAGTAGATGCTTGTTTAACTTTTTAAGAAACTACCAAACTGTTTTCCACTAGCCATGTATAAAGAGTTCCAGTTGTCCCATATCCTTACCAACACTTAGTATGATCAGCCTAGATTAGATTAGATTGGCCCAGATGAGATCAGATCAGATTACAATTTTAACTATTCTAATAAATATGTAGTGTATCTCATTACGGCTTTAATTTGTCTTTCTCTGATCCTAATGACAGTGAGCACCTTTTCAGGTGTTTATTTGTTATCCTGTAGCTTCTTTGGTGATGTGTCTCATCAAATCTTTTGCACATTTTAAAATCAGGATTTCTGTTTTATTATTGAGTTGTATGAGTTGCTTACATATTCTGAATACAAGTCCTTTGTTAAACATATGTTTTGCAAAATTTTCTACTGTTTTTAAGCCCTGGTTGAACTGTTAAAAGCTTGTCCAATCAACAAACATTTTCTTCTAAACTAATTCTAGATTGTGACATATCTTAACTGTTAATAACTATTATAGCAGACTATTGTAGTAGATTATAGCAAAGCCCTGACACTTGTTAGGTATTGATGCAAAATTTTTATTGCTTTCTTCATGAACTACAAAGCACAATTGAATTTCTTTTCTTAAGTCATAAAGAAAAGTTCGTATTTTCACAAATGATGTAAATACAGCAAAAACTCATTTTATATAATCAGCAGTTTTTTTCTAGGATGAAGTATTTTTACCACTTCACCTATTAGTACAAATATTAGTAATGATGGACTGATATCATTGCATTAAATATCCACTGCTGAAAGAATCTCAGTACCATTTCATTAAATTTATTTTCATTAAAAATACTATGTTTTCGGCTTCATTTTTTCATAATTTATTCTGTGAGATAAGGATTTCTCTTTAATTACTCTTTAACACCGTTTTTCAAAATCAACACTTGCACCTGGTAGTAAGTAGAATATTTTTTAACCAATAGGTAAGGCATCATCAGCATAGAATCTATATTTAAAGCAAATATAGCAAACTGCAGCATTTGCTGAATTCTAGCACTTTCTTCTGCATTCTTCTCAAAATTGATAGCCAGATTTACATTTATAAAGTTACATTTTTAGCTGTCTGAAATTCCTGGGCAGTGCACTTATCAATTCATATCAGAAAATGTTATGATCTTTAAATGCCAAACGATGGTTAATACTATGATAAAAGCCAAAAGTAAGAATAAAATGGTAGATATTCCAAAGGAAGAACTTCTGTGACATAAATAATCTTTCTCATTTTCTCTAATATGCTGCAAATGTATTTCTAACTCAAAAAGAATAATTCCTTCACAGAAAAACAATTAAGTTTGATTTACAGTGCCACTAAAAATTAACCAAGAGCTTCTAGCAGTTGTTTAGAAGAGTAGATGAAGGGAAAACTCTTAGCTGTTGTTTCCCATCAAGCGGAAATAAATCTCCTTGAGATTAGTCTTATATAGCATTTACCTCCTTCTGTATCTAAGTTGAAGTCAGTATTGATAAATAATCCATAACAGGAAGCATTTTGTGTCTGTTTGAAACACAAATCAGAACTGCCCTTTTCCTGTCCTATCAACATATCAGCTTTGACATTCAACAAAGATTTAATTGTATTATTCCAGAAATTAACAACTGGTTGCATAAATATAGCTCTATTTGCTTTATTTCCTTTAACTAAATTTACAACAAATGTAGAACTGAGCACAGTCCACATTTACTTGGCAAAAGGCTGTGTTTAAAATGAATATCAAACTTATTTTCCACCAAGACTCTCCTCCTTCCCATCATCCACTCAGCATTAAATTCAGAAAAAAAAAATCACCACAGAACAATGGTTTACAAATTATGTATCATGGTGATGGTACTCTCATTCCTTGCAATGGTATTAGGTACAACTCTAAATTCTGTGCTCAAACGTGTCGACCAGCTGCATACTACATATTCCTCTTACATGTTAATATATTAAGTGTTCTGAGGCATTCTACAGATAAGAAACTGTTTTCTAAGCTTTTTCTTTTAAAACACAACTCTCCCCACCAGCACCCTTCCTCCAACACATACCCTAAAATACAAGGGTTTCTAGTTTTTAGGGAACTAGTGTTCTAGGGTTCACAGTTTGGGAAATGCTGCAGTAGAACTTCCTTCTAATAATAAGGGAGAAGGATAGAAACACATACGAAGCCCTCAAGTGTCTTTATTCTCCTGAAAGTTTTGACTTTTTTCTTCATATACAACTGCTTTAGTAAAAATTTAGAAGGTTTTAATTCCCATTTACTTTTATTTTACATTCCTAGTCTCTAGTAAGGGTGACTCTTAGCAAGTTATTTAACCTCTGTGTCTTTCATACTTAAGATGTGGAAAATACCAACCTCATAGGGCTGTTTTGAGGATTAAATAAGTTAATATAATGCCTGAGCTATAAATAAGTACTTATAATTACATACAAAGACTTGGAGTTGGATCTTTGTGGGACTCAAAACTTTAGTAGGAGCAATTCCTATATTAGAACAGTGACTGGTCAGAAAGAAAAGGTTAGGGACAACAGGCCACTGATTGCCAAAACATTTGGACTTTATTCTGTAATATTGGGCCACTGCATGTTTTAAATTGGTAAGTAGCACCATAAAAACAATGTTTTGGACAACTCTAAACTGTCTGTATAGAATGATATGGGAATAGGGACAAATAAAAGATTGAAAGAATAATAGCTAACTTTTATTAGATGCTTTTCTGTATCTTTGCAAGTGTATAAGAAATATTAGTTATAAATATTATTATTATATGTTCTAGGCAATGTGCCGAGCACTTTATATGGGACATCTTGTTTAATTCTTAAAACAACCCTGAGGTAATACTCTGATGATCATCATTTTACCCACGAAGAAACTGAAGCTGAGAGAGATTAAAGTGAATTGCCTAAGACAGCTAGCAAGTGGCATTAAATATGATTTATATTTAAGGTATCTGACTCCAAATATGATAGTTGGAAGCTGATAAATAAAAGGATTTACATACATAAATAGGCAAATCATGATTTGGTGCCTGACTGAATACAGGCTAAAAGAAAGGATTATTACTAGATGACTGAGGTTTCAAGCCTTGAGGTCCACACACAAAAAAAGATGACGTGTGTGTGTGTGAGATGAAATATTGTGGAAAGGTTGTTCAGAGCAAAAGGAAATTGGCTGTGGGTGAAGTGCTCAAGTACAGACTGATGAAAGAGGCCCTAAATGGCAGACTTGGCTAAAATAAAGGAACAGATACAGCATTACTTGGGAGAAAAAAATATAGTATATATTATATAAAATATATGTATTAAAGTAAAAGGATACATGGGGTAGAGAGGAGTAAAGAGGGGGAAATTTAGACACATACTGTGAGGCTAAAGTACCTTTCATCTGTTTTATTAACTGCTATTGCCTGACTTAGAAGATACTAATATTTGATGAATGTAGCTAAGAATAGTAAAGAAAGATTAGGTAGATTTGATTGCATTTGATGTATTTGGAAGTAGGGAGTTATTTAAAGGTTTGTTGTTGTTTTTCACAGGAATATCAGAATTTGATTGAATTTTCCTTGTCTTTTCCCTGGGCTCTCTTTTCATTTAGAAAGGTCAGCTAGATCCAATCCCACCTACCTCACATCCCTAACAAACTTTTAAGTGTTTACCCCTAGATGTCAAAATTTATGTAAAAGTTCCCAAATATTAAGCAGATAAAAAATTTGGATAGTAAAACAAATGCTTTGGTATCTCATCTTCATGGCTGCGTACGTCTGAGGGAACAATAATATACACAGCCGCAGGACCATCAAGGCCACAAAAGCTGACTACGTAAGTCTTTTAGCTATTTTGAATAAAACGAGTGGACCCCTGAATACAATCTGTCGCATGCCCATTAGTTTTACTACGGTCCTGCTGGCGTTAGGGAGCTGACTACGATGCACGGAAGGCGTATATACAGCCAGAGAAGTCGGGAGACTCAGATGCCTTTAGAGCGGTAAGTCTTAGGGCTAGAAAGTCGCCACCAAGCTTCCGCCAAGAACACCAACTGATCCGCAATGCGCCTGGCCAACTGCAGCAGCCTAGTTCTGCAAACATCGCATAGCAGAAAAAGCGTCTGTTGGGGGAAACAAGAAACCGCGGCAGAAACCGAGTGCGCTCGGCGATCCTAAGGGTTTATCCAGCTCAGTGCTCTCGCCAGACTGCAAATCCCAGCAGTCACTCGTTCCATGGGAGCCAATAAGGAAGCTACAAGTTCCTGCAGCCAATCACATCCTGACCGAGTGTCGCACCTCGACTGGATTCTGGGGTTTGTGGTTTTCACGTGGCAACAACATACCATGGTGGCTAAGGCAATGTAGGCCACGCGTCCGATTCTAAACGAAAGCCCCCCCCCCTTATAATTTTATGTTGGTCTCCAGGCTAACCCCTTAAATATCATTACTTCCAGGCCTAACACTTCTCAAAAATCGTAAACTTCTTCTAATGCCATACAGAAAAAAATAGAAGTTACTTTCAGATTAAGGCCCAGCGGTTCCGCTCGCCTCACCTTCTTTAACCGTTGCCTTAAAGTATCGCGAGAACAGCCTCATTTGGGCGTTGTCATGCCTCCAGAAAGGCGGTTCACGTGAAGACTGACACAGGCCTCAGCCAACAGAATTTCCCTTTAACTCTCCTCGCCGCAGCGTGCGTGGGGAGGCCTCCGTGAACTCTGACCTCGGCTTTCCGTAGCGTCCCGCGTCGGCCGCCCCCTCCCCCGGAGAGAAGGAGGCGGATTTTGGCCTCTTGCCCTAGGGAGCGAGTGCGGAGGGAGTGGGAGCGAGACAGCCCTGAGTGGAAGTGTCTGGATACTCGGAGAAGCCCTGCTGTACGCCCGGCCGCCCATGAGCTCGTTCTCCAGCGAGTAGCGCCGTCGTTAGGCCGGCCCCGTCGCCTCTGCTTCCCCCGGGACAGGCCCACGCCTCGCCAGGGAGGAGGCAGCCTGTCGAGGCGCCTCCCTAGTCAGCGTCGGCGTCGCGCTGCGACCCTGGAAGCGGGAGCCGCCGCGAGCGAGAGGAGGAGCTCCAGCAGCTGCGGCAGCAGCGGGCAACAGCTCCAGCAGCGCCAGCGGGCGGGATCGAGGCCGTCAACATGGCGAGCGCCTCGTACCACATTTCCAATTTGCTGGAAAAAATGACATCCAGCGACAAGGACTTTAGGTGAGGCCGAAATCCGACCCTTTCCCCACCTCGGGGTCCCCCCTCCGCGGCGCTGGCCCTCAGGCAGGCCTTGCCCCACCCCTCTGGCCATAACCAGTTCCTTCGCTTCCTGAGGTCTCCAGCCCACCACTCTGCTCCCTCATCCCGGCAGGCCCCTTCTGACCCCCTCCCCCCCATTCTCTCCTCTAGGCCTTTGCCCGCCACGGTCTCTAGGCCTCTTCCTTCTGCTAAGCGCCCCCACCTCATTCCCTGCCCCGCTGGGAGCTGGTCCTTGCATCTCAGGTAGCGCGAAGGGGCGAAACCACCCACCATTGTGGGGAAGGGAGTTGCTGTAGGCCGGGAGACCGGGCGGCCAGGCCTACCAGCCGGCCCTCCCGAAGCGCTAGGCCGCCTTGCTAGCTGGGGCCCAAGCTGCTGCCCACTCGGAGACCCAGCAGCCGCTTCCTTTCCCTCAGGTGTGAGTGGGCCTGGCTACATTCAGGTTTAATGAATAACTTTTTTTGAGCTCTTTGCTGGTTGGGTTGTATACTTTCTCTTTGGATTATTCCTCTTGGTGAAGATGGGAAGAAGGGGGAGGGGAGCCAGCCAGGATGGAGGACACTTGGCCCGTAGGGTTTTCCCGCCAGCATCTCTGTCAATTTCCCTTGTCAGGTAAAACCCCCCAGGAGCTCGGGGTTTCAGTCTCATATCCTTATATGCGAAATCACTGCCAAAGGGATGAATTGCTGAAACTGAAACATAGCAAATGGATCTTCTTCGTTGAAGGAGTTTTCTAATGTGGAGCTGGTTAATATGAAGCTTAATTATAGCAGTTCTGTTCTAAGAGACTTGTACTGTCGGTTCCAAATTCTTAATGTATATTGAAGGTGTTATATTTTCACAGATTATTTGGATTTTTTTTTTTTTTGCAGACTATAATGATCGTTACATTCCTTCCTTAATGCCTCCCATCCCTTCACAAATAAATATAAGTTTTTGATCTAAAAAAAGCTTTTTATTTCTTTGATACTTAAGTTTTGTTTTCCAATGCTTCAGTGGTTGTAATTGTGTACATTTTCAAGGAAAGAACAAATCGTCTCCAATTAAAATTGTAGCTAAAGAGCTTATTTATGTTTGCTTGTTTTATATGAACAGTAATGTTTTAACACTTGAAATTATGTCCAAACCCTATCTACCAGGAAGAACTTTTCAGATTTGTGAAATGGTGACCATGAAAAAGCTAATGCTTGTGTTGCTAATTAAATTGATGTGCTGACATATTAAAATGGTCAGTGAAGTATACAGTTTTGTGATTTCAAAACCACATGATTTAAAAAAAATTTTTTCTACCTAGAGAGCTTTTAAGCTGTATTTGAAACTTAAAAACCAGTTTGCTAATGCTAAAGATTTTGCTATTGTGACTTTTTGGAAGTGACATATGTTTGTTTTGGAATTTTAGATTTGTGTAGTTCTAGGGCCAAAATCAAGATTGTTGGGGGAAATAAAAGTTTTGTGGTGTTTTAAGGATTAGAATGCTGTTTGATTCCCTTTGGAGCTTTGCTTGCTCACTATCAAGTCATTGAAATGTAAATAAACATTTGAATGGAACTTACAGAAAACTTTCTGCTGTATAAGGTGTATGTTGTGATTCCCTCCCCTCTTCTGTCAGTGTGGCTTATCCTGTGAAAGTACTAAATTTCATTCTGATTGTATTCAATTTCAGTCGAAAGATAGCACTTTCCCTGTAATAACACAGTTTTGTTCAACTAGTCAGACTCATGTGTGCGTAGTATGTTTAGAAAGACTAGAGAAATCATGCATGTGGTGATACTCTATATGCGATTAACTGAAGCTTCCTTTCTTAAATTTCTTGTAAAGATAATATATACATGGCTAGGTTTTTTTTAAATATATGAAAGAAATAATGCTCTGATGGTAATATAGTCATTGATGAATTTGATAACGATTATCTACCAGTTTGGGTTGGAATGAATCAGACATTGCCTGGAGGATTAGTGTAATATTGGCATATTTCTAATAGTTGAATGTTATACAAGATATGTTTAGGAACAATAAGTGACTTCTAGTAATTTGGCATCATTAAGGTATTTTTATTAACTCTTAAAGACTTTTTTGTAATACACTCTAACCGTCTAGTTAAGAGAGTCTTTGGAACTAAAGCACTCCTTATAATTAAGTTTAAACTGACATTTAAGGATTAATTAAAATAGCGTCTGAAGTTGAGTATTTTGAAGATTTTGCTGCATATTTTCAATACATTTATTTTAATAGATTTGTTCTTTTCTAAAAAGATGCTTTGTTCTCATTAGAAATGTATTTATTTTGGTGTATATACCAAGATTTGTGGCTACGTATTTTAAAATACTTAATATAGCAGGAGCTTGAGATACCAGAGGGATCTCGAGTGCAAGGTTAATATTATGGAATGCTCAACATGTACAAAGCATTCTAGCTTGTATCAAGGAGAGGGGAAGAAAACAATGCGGCCAAAATGAAGACAAAATTTTGTTCTCCTCATGGTAGAATCCAAAGGAAATTTGACCTAGTCACAGTATCTGGGTTCTAGTCATGTGCGATTCTTTCTTGTGAACTGTGAGATCTTGGACAAGCTACTTAATTTGAGATTGCATTTTCACTTCTGAGAGGCTTGGGCATGGATAATTACAAAAGGTCACTTATAAGTCTCTTATTTGGATATCTACTTAGTCCATTAATGCAGAGAAGCTAGAAAAATGGGTACAGGCTTCAAATTTTTGAAATTTCATCATTTTTAAAGAATCCTTTTGTAGGACTTCAGTCATAGGTTCAATTTATTGAAAAATTACCTAATATTCCTTTTGTGTTTTAGTATTCTGCATTATTTGAAAGTAGGATATTAAGATATATGAGAAAGGAGGAAGCCTTGGGATGAGAAATGTCAAGACTAGGAACTCTTTGAAAAAGAGAGGAGGCATTTGTGTATCCTAATGTCCAGGATAGTACCTGTCACCTCCTACTAGCCTTGGTTTAGTGAAAAACTATTTTTAAAATAATGAATGCTATCTCAAACCTTTAGAAGAAAAATAAAGAAACATCATTCTTTGGAACAATCACTTCTTTCCCAAAAGAAACACTTCCTTGAGTGTACTCAGACTTTTTTCTAGAAAACCTTTATTCCAGTGTGTATCAGTTACTTGAAGTCCAAAAACCCCTAGGAATGTGTGTTCCGTAAAGGAGTAGAGTAAAAATAAAGTGATGTAGCCAGGAGGTAGGTGATTGTGTAGATACCAGAGTGAAAGCTCTAATGTGGATGAACCATGTAAATACTCCACTTATGAATATTACTATTGACTAGTAGAGTGGGCTGTGGTAACTAATAAAGTTCTTTTACTTTCATATGCTTCACCACCAATTGAATTAAAGTATTCCAAGGAATCAAGGGATAAAGAAAATAACACTTTTATTTCTCTGTTCAATAATAGTTAATGCTTACTGCGAGCTTGATTTTATTTATTCTTAACAACTCTAGTAAAAGTGGGTAATCATAGTCTCTACTGCAGTTGAAGAAACTGAGATTTGAAGAGATTAAGTACTTGTCCAAAGTCAGATAGTAGGTCTGGGATTTCTAGGACTTCTTTACCGCCAGAGCATGAACTCTTAACTACCTAGCTATGCCACCTCTCCAGGGTTTTGATTAGAGGACGTTAAGAATCAGGCCTTAAATTTCAGTTCCCTCTGAAATTAGGTTTATGGAATATTTTATGCTAGAAGATGCTTTTAATAATTGAGAAAGACTACAAAAAGTTTAAGATTGGTGCTTGCCCTCAGTAAATTTATATGCTTATTGAATAGTTAAGATACTACTGTAAAAAGATAAATAACCCAGGGCAATATGTATTTGTCAGGCATTAAGTGACAGAGAAGATTAAAGAAAGGAGATTCATGCCTACGGAGAGATCTCAGCTAGGTCTTGAAAATGAAGTTCTACATAGAAAAAATAAATACAAGTATAAAAGTACACTATACAAAACTTCATTGGGGAAGAGGGAGTAGATATTTTTGACTGTAGCTGGATGGGTATTGTCCACAGAACTCCTTAAGGGTAGGGACCTGGTCTTATTGAAATGAATTCTCTACTCTGTCTAGTTCTTGACCATGTGGGTTCTCAATAGGTACTTGTTTTAGTAGAATTGGATTTTAGTTCCAATGTTAAAAAAGTATATTGGGATTTTAGGAACCTTCAAGAAGTCATTCTTCTTAAAATAATTCACTGCATTGTAGAATGCAAGCGGTTCCCAGCTTGATGGTTTATGTTACCAAATTTATTTAGGTGTTTTGGATATTGGAAGTTATTTTCTCTTTGAAATTGTTTAAAATGCTGATAAAAATATCAAGCCTGTTAAAGAATCATAGGGTTTCAGAGCTAGAAGGGACCTTAGAGATCTTATCACCTAGCTGAAAGTACTGTGTGGGCATTTACAATAATATAACAGGAAATAGTGAGTGAAATTATCTTGACTACTTGAGCTTGAAGAAAAGCAGGTTTAATCAGAAGAAATAGATTTGCAGAGATTAAGGTGATTTCTGGGTACTTTTGAAATACTTTGCAGGTTGATAACAGTAACTTGATTTTGCTTAGGTGATTTTTCTTGATGGAGACATACTACTAACTGATTATCAGCATTGATTAGGGCTTACTACTGAAAAAGAGAAGAAAGGACCCTCATTGAGGAAACTGGGAAGGAAGATGAGTAAAAATCAGTTTTATTTACATGAATAACATTAAGACTATTCCAAGCAAATAATTCTTAGCTCTCTAAGGAATAAAGGAGAAAAAGTGAGCTAACAGTGGTGTGCGTGCAAGCTCTTTGAAAGATAACTCGTTTACTAAGTGATGAAGTTGGCAATATCACTTCGATTTCTGTTGGAAGCAAGGGTAAAATCGTGTTTATATATGAGGGGAGGAGTTGTGGTGAGAGTTATCGTGCTGTGCAAGGTATCCGTGTCTACCATTATTTCTG